GGCCCCGGGGGCGCCGCGCGGAACCTGGGCAGCCCCTGCCCAGGATCGCAGCACATGCCGGTGCCAACCTCGGGCGTGCGGCGCATGCTTGGCCCCGCCCCCAGTCACGTGGCCTGTGAGCGGCCCCGCACCCATACGCGCAGCGCGTGAGCAGCCCCGCCCCCAGGCGCCTGGCAGCCCCAAAACGTTGGGGACTACTGAGTTATTCATTTGCTAAATCCAATGTCATTCTATTCCCAGTTCTGTAAATATTCCAACACGTTTAACTTTATGCACAATAGCATTCCATTGAGTTCACACACATGAAGTTAAGAACCTGATGGCAATTTTACAGGATCAAAGAATATCTCAGCACCTGTACTGCACACTTCATAGGAAATGTAAGACTAATACCTTTAAAGCAAATGAATATGCTTTTTCTCCCACATTAATGGATTTAGGATCATCATCATCCAGGTTTTCCCAAATCCTAACATCTCCATCACTGCCACAAGTTACAATACAGCTGTTAAGAAAATGATAAAATCATTATTAACATTTCTATATAGCGGGGTTATGATTTCCTCAGCCTAAAATAGGGAGGGAAATGTTTAAAAAATTCACATTTCTATTAAAAGAAATGCATTTTATAAATATTTATTTGTCAAATAATATGAGAAAGACTCATACAACATGAAAACCTTGCAATTCTGGTAATACAATACAATAATTTAATCTAAGTCTACTAACTAGGTATGCCTATCCCTCTTTTGTATCTGCCCTTAAATACTCATACACTCACCAGCCAGTTAATTTTCAGCATCTAGGGCAGAGTTTCCCAAATGGTGTTCTGCGGAACCCCAGGGTTCCGTGAAGTGACAATAAGGGTTCCACAAAAAAATTCCATCACAGTAACGTTTTATGATTTTTAAAATAATAATATTATGTGATTGTTGTTTTTAAATATGTACAATTAAACTAAATGTTGATCTCATGACCTTATTCAGCATTTGTTTATTATTATCCTTACTTATTTGTGGTCTACTTTTTCAGCTCCATATATTAGACTGCTGTTATTAGAGGTTCCACAAAATTCTTTCAAGTTTGAAAGGGTTCCATAGCGAAATAAAATTGGGAAACACTGATCTAGGGGAAATTTTTCAACAGCACAAAGGAAAATTAAGAGCTCAATTTGCACTGACTTTTACAAGGAGTTAGGTGTCCAACTGCCCTTTTGTGCTTTTGAAAATCTACTCCCATCTTATCAAAATGTTGACATCTGAATGTGCTAATACACACTTAACTGAAACTGAGATGTCTGTATAGGAGTGCAGGCCTTTTAAAAACTGTCCGGAGTCTGAATTCAACTCCCCTGTCTTTCATGATTTCACATCTACAATTCTGATGCAATAAATTACCACCCAAACTTCTTCACATAGATCTGGAGCAGAAATCTGAATCTCCAATTTTCAGTGCTATATGAACAGGAATTACTTCAGGATTCCATTATCAGCAACACTCCTGCCTCTTCGTACTGTACTTGGCTCAGTCTAAGATATTTGTATTTTCTATCAGTCATGCTATCTAAGTAATGGAAAGGTTTTATAACTTCTGTCAATCTTTTTCATATTTTGTTGTTTATGGTTTTGGTTCTTTTCTGTAAATCAATGTAAATCCATTCCATTTAATACCCTCTTTTAACATGCACAGACCACGTCTACACTACAAAATTAAGCGGTCATAACTTATGTCAGCATACAGTTACTGCGGTAATTATGTCACTTTTACATGTCTACACTTTGCTCAATACATTGGTGGTGCACGTCCCTCACCAAGAGTGCTTGCATCTGTTGAACTCATCCATGTAGGCACTGTAGGATGGCTTCTGAAAGCCAGCAACAGACACTGTAAGCAACACAATGTATACACTGACACTTTATTGACCTAACTAGATAAACATTGATTCTACACCTCTCATGGAGTAGGGATGTTAAACTGCAAGTAATTGACTAATCGAATAGTCGATGCATTTTGCATCGACTATTCAATTAGTCAATAGGGCGCCTCCACCTTTGAAGTGCCACGGGAGGCCCAGGCAGAAGTGCCACGTGGAACCCAGGGTCAGCTGAGGACTCCTCTGCTGTTCCCGGGCGCCATGTGGCAGTGCCACTTTAAACGCCATAGGGATCTGAGAGTCAGGCTCCTCGCAGCATTTCAAAGCAGTAGCACCCCATGGAGTCCAGGATCAGCTGGGGACTCCCCCGCTGACCCTGGGCTCCATGCAGCACTGCCACTTTTTAATGCCACAGAGAGCCCAGCGTCAGGCTCCACGTGGAGTTTCAAAGCGGCAGTGCCGCACGGAGCCCAGGGACAGTGGGGGAGTCCCCAGCTGATCTCAGGCTCCACGCAGCACTGCCGCTTTGAAATGCTGTATGCAGCCTGGTACACCCCAACAGGCCCCAGGGTCCATGCAGCACTGCCGCTTTGATATATGCCCTCCTCTTTCCCCTCCTTGCTGCCTTTTTCTGATAGAGCCAGAATGGAGGGGGAGGGGGAAGCAACTAGCCAACTAGCCTGTTGACTATCCGATAAGCATTTGCTTATCCGATAGTCAGCTAGTTGAGTAGTCCTTCACATCCCTATCACGGAGATGAAATGATTAAGTTGGTGTAGCATGGGAGTGGTCAATGATTTCTGATGGGGGGAGAACACTCCAAGAATTTGGTAAATGATCAAAGGCCGCACTCTTCTGTGATATTAATGGAGGAGGTGCAGGATCTGGGATGGAGATTGAGTGCAAAAGGGAGCTCAGGGTAGGAGACTGGGATGCAGGAGAAAGTGTGGGGTCTGAGTGGGAGTTTGAGTGTGGGGGGGGTGCAGAGTCCGGGAGAGGGTATGCAGGTGTAGGAGAGGATTCTGACCTAGAAGAGGGATGTGGGGGAGGGTGCAGCGTCTGGAAGGAGGTTGTGACTTGTGGCGGGGTGCAGGGATTTGGATTGTGACCTGAGGTACAGGATTGAGGTGCAGGGTTTTGGAGGGGTATGGATTAGAGTGTTTGGGTTAAGTAAGGTTGGAGTGCAGGGAGGCAGAGGGTTTGGGTTAGGTGAGGTAAGGGTGCAGGAGGGGAGGCAGAGATTTCGGTTGTGACTGGAAGCAGGTTATGGGGTGCAGGGTCTGGAAGGGGTATGAGTTCAGGAGTAGAGGTGGACAAGTTTTGGATTATAAAATCCATGGGATGGGGGAGGGCAGAGGGTTTGGTTTACATGCGGTAGAGATGTAGGAGCGGGGGACAGAGAGATGGTGGGAGGAAGGGGTTGGAATGACAGAGGCAGGCTCTGGCCAGGAGGCGCTTACCCACATGGCTCCTGGTCAGTACTCCAGTAGTCCAGTACCCTCAGGCAGACTCACTGCCTGCCTGCCCCACCCTTCACATTGCTCTGCGTGGCCAGCTGCTGAAGCCACGTGCTGCTCTGAATGCAGGAAGGTGGGAAAAGGAGGTTGTTAGCGGGGCAGCACGTGAAGCCTCTCACACAAACACACTCAAGCTCATGGCAGCGTTCAGAGATGCTCAGGCTCTTACAGCCAGTCATTCTAAGTGGTGTGGGGGGGCAGGGTAGGCAGGGAGCCTGGCTGAGGCTGCAGGCCAGATCCAGCAGCTTGGCAGGCTGCATTCAGTCCACAGGCCATATTTTGCCCAGACCTGGTGAAGCAGGTGAGTTTTGTCGGTGGGAGCAGAATTTTAGTGTAGATATTTACATAGTTAGATTGATGTTAGCTGCTTTGCGTCAATCTGACTCTGTAGTGTAGACCAGGGCTCAGTTGCAGCATTATCACCCCACACCTTTAGTAAACACAAAGAATTGATAACCACACTACAAACTAATCAACACTGAAAACTTACATCAGCATAGCTGTCTCTCAGGGTTGTGCGCTATCCTAATTAACAATAATATATAAATATGCAGTAATTTTTTAGACCTTGTTAAGATCTTGGCCTCAATGACTTCCTATGGCAGGGAGTTCTATAATTTAATTACACATTTGTGGAAAAAGTATTTCTATTTAACTTGTTTTAATTTCCCACCTTTCAATTTCATTGAACATCCCCTTATGAGACATGGATAGCAGAAGCTCTTGATCTATATTCTCTACCCCGTTTATTATTTATAATACACTTGTATCATGTCCCCTATTACTCAATTCCTTTCTAAAGTAAACAATCCCAATCTTTTCAACATCTTTTTATACAAAAGTTTTGCCAAGCCAATGAACAGTCTCTTCACTCTTATCTGACCCTCTCTAGTTTTGCAATATCCGCGGCACTGCTTGCGGATACATGAACTGCCGAGCCCTAAATTAAATAATTTACCTTCCAGAGTCATCAAAGCAGACATCTGTGTGGCCTTCTGTGTGTCCATAGCGCATTGGTTTTTGTGTTGAAGGCATCTTCTCTCTTATCTATATAATAAAAAAAGTAAAGCTTCATAAAACAAATAAAAATGATTTGCCAGTGTTAATAACAGGAAAACACTATTCAAATCTCAGTAGTAAAAATATTTTGATACAGTGATATTTTGATACAGTGATAAGTTTTTTCCCACTAAAGAGCTTGGACAGTGTTCATAAGAATCACTACAAACAATATTGTTTTGCATTTTGAAAAGTATTATGGAAAAGTAAGATGAAGGGAAAAGAAGAAATTCTGAAAGGGAATTAGCAAATACTGCAGTATTTCCAGTTAAATAAATACAATCCAAGAGCATACACCACCACTTTACTGTATATGAGTTAAATTGTTTAAAACGTTATTAACTTCTAGCCTATGTCAAAAGAGTCATACAAGCGTATCCACATAAGTAGAGCCTTGCACCCATGCGCCAATAAAAGGGGTCCCATGCACAAAGGTTCAACTGGGTTGATCCAACTGAAATATTGGGAGGGGTCACATAAACCTTTCTGATAAACCTATATCTTTATTATGAGGAAAATAAAAATGGATAAATAGCAGCTCCAAATACAGTAACAGTCATTTCAAAGTTTGTAGCTGGAACAGAACCCATTTTTTAAGAGCTCTCTATTCTAAAATTCTACAGATGGTCTAAGTTGTATTGGCATAAGTAGAACAGTTCAGTATTTTAAAGTCTTCATGAACTATCAATGAACAATACACACACAGCACTACATTTTTGCTTGTGTTTTTTTAAGGTCCATGAGGATCAGAGTTAGAAAATGTTAATTAATTTAACTGTGTTAAAACACAGTGGCTCTTAAAATAAGAAAATTGTCTCCACGTGTCTGCTTTTTTGAATACCTCTGTTCTTTCTATTCTATTCTAACAGCAAGCCTATAAACTGGACAGACCCTCAAAACACACAATCCATATAGGTGTTATACTGATTCCCTGATATGTTTTACTTTTTACAATATATGGTAAAAAATTACTTGAGCAATCTCTCACAGAACTAGAAAGTTACTTCCCCAGTGTTGGGCCTTTAGCTAATGCTGAAACAAAATCGGGCTGCAGGACTTGGAAGTACAGCAGCTGCTTAAGACACAGCGCTGCATATTGGAGGTAGAGACTAGATATTCATTGGCAATAGAAAAAATGACCAGATATCAGATTCAAGTCATTCATTCACTATGTCGCATACGACCAGATAACCATCAGCCCCTACTAAGGAGAAAAACACCTGATGGAAAGTGCAGATCATTCCACTAGGTTAGAATGAAGTTTGCTGTATCCACACTGAAGAATGACAGGGCTTGAACCCAAGTCACAGTAGGCTCTGACCCACCCCTTTGCAGGCTCCTAGGATCAGGGTCCTGGAATCAGAATGATTTGTGTGTAGATGGCAAGGGAGGGGCTTGGGCACAAACCTGAGTTGGAATTCCTTCAGAAATTATATATTCCCTACATGGATAATGATAAGGGGTGTGATTTATACCCACACCCACTGCGTCCTGAACCTTGCGTAGAAGGCAGAGCGCGGGGTATCTGGCATCTGGAGGGAGCTGCCTTCATCTTCTGTGTTTTAACTGGGAGATCTGTACCCAGCACCTGAGGGGTGATTAGGCCCCGTGCTGAGGTCATAGTGAGACACCCCACAATCTCTCCTGCTTTACTGCAATGCCAGGTATGTGCATAGGCACAGATCCCAGAGCCGCCCTGGACACAAGGACACCAGTTACAGCCTCCTCTCAGCAGGCTCTTCGGGGCCAAAGAGCCCCCAGAATCATGTCAGAGAAGGAGCCACTTGAGCTTTAAAAGTGAAAGTCATAATCCTCATGGCCCCTGACTGCTCCCACTGGGGAAGCACCTTGGATTCTGTGGGGCATCTCCCCAGGACAGGTGGCTTTGGGAGATGAACTGAGAAGAGGGCTGTGCCCACGAAAGCTCATGATACCATCGACATGTTTTGTTAGTCTCTCAAGTGCTACCAGACCATTTGCTAAGTTTTTTGCATGTCCGCTGTGTCTCCCAGAGTGCGAAAAAACTCCCTACACCCCACTAACCCCCCACATCCTCCAAACCCTCCTACCCCACACACCTCTCCAACCACCATGCCCCCACCTCCTTGCCATTTGCTAAGTTTTTTGCATGTCCGCTGTGTCTCCCAGAGTGCGAAAAAACTCCCTACACCCCACTAACCCCCCACATCCTCCAAACCCTCCTACCCCACACACCTCTCCAACCACCATGCCCCCACCTCCTTGCTACCCTGCAACTTACAGCTCCCCCCCACCACTGAGCTCCCCCCACCCCAAGTACTCACCAC